GGGACAAATTTACTTTTTCATTTCACAGTCCAAGAGAGAAGTTACCAAAGAAAAACTCCCTGAATTGCTTTATTACTTTCAGATAAGATACTTGAATTTAGCCCAATGGTACATAGATAAATTCCAATAATGTTTCAAAAAAAATCATTTGAGGGCTGGGGTTTGCCCAGTGGTAGAGCACTTGCCTAGTATGTGTGAAGCACTGGGTTTGGTTCTTAGCACTACATAAAAATAAATAAAATAAAGGTATTGTGCCCAACTAAAAAAAAAAAAAATTTTTTTAAATCATTTAAAACAACCTGGTGCCTAAAGTTTGCATTCTCAATACAAAACTGCTTATTTCCTCCTACTTGTAGCCACACTCCTTTATCTCTTTCACATGCACAATCACTAATTAGACTGCAAAAAAAAAAAAAAAATTCAGACATATTAGTAATCAAGGTAACAGAAACATGGTCATAAAATCACATACAGTAATATTCATAAAGAGGATAAAATGGGAGAAAGACAAAACCAAAACTTTTTTTCAGCAAAAGCATTAAATTAGTATATAGAGGAAATTAATTAAACAGACACTGAAACAAAGATCTAAAGTAGACTCTTAGAGAGGAAATGACTCAGAGGGAGGTAAAGAAACCCTGGTGGTTTGATTTTTGCTGAGAAGTACTTAAATGGTAGTTAAATAATCTTCTGCCATAACAAAGATTCTTGCCAAAAGCTCCATATAAATCAAGAGAAAGGACAAATGACTTTACTTATTTTTTGTGTGTGCCGAGGATGGAATCCAGGGCCCTGTGCATGCTAAGCACACCATTTACYACTAAGCTACATCCTCAGCCCCTTTAAGATTTTAAATAAAGGCAGGAACTGTCATACTGACACTTCATCTGGCAAAGATGCTTTCCTAACTTAAAATATGAAATTTAAATTAACTACTGAAAAGGCAATTTAAGTCACCAATAATTTTAACTATTAATTCTTAGAGTGTTGATCACTTCTGTACTAAATTAGGGCCTCAATTTTGTGAYGGTGAATCAACTTTAATATCAAGAAGTCTGGCTGGGAGTGGTGATGCATGCATGTAATCCCAGCAATTCGGAAGCCTGAGGCAGGAGGATCACAAATTAGAGGTCAGCGTGCYCTGTACCTTAATGACCCTGTTTCAAAATAAAAAAATAAAAAAGGGCTGAAGAATGTGATTCAGTGGCAGAGCACCCTGGTTTCAATAYCGTGTCTTCCCCCCTCCCCCAAAAAACTTCAGGAAGTCTGTACTCTGATTCTATCATATGCATTTTTTGTGTATGCATACAGGTTTGGCATCCCTACTGGGATTTCAGGTTTTAGGGAAGACAAGAATGAGACAGGATTCTAGTACTTTTATTTCCTCTAATACAATTCTATTCACAGTAGCTCCAAATAAAAAATGTTGATTGGCAGACAAAAGTTTAGCAGATTTTCTTCCTAATATAATTCTTTTCTGAAATAAATTAATTCAATTTTAAAAGTACATTTGGTTAAGTTCCACCCCAAATTGTGAGAAGTTAGGCAATAAGTGGACATTATGCTTAAAAGCACTATTATAACCAACAATGATGTTTTCTATAAATTTTTCCATAGGAACAAATTGTAACTCTTGTATTAAACCCACAATTTCTAAGAACAGTTCTACCTTAAACTCTAAAATGAATTAAATTTCTAATCTTGAAATCACATGGGTAATATTTACTGGTCACTTGCCTGGTCAGGGAAAAAAAAAAAGATGTATTACTGGAAATGCTAAAAGAAAAAAAAAAAGCTAAGAAAAACTTAAAAAAATCTATACATTCAAGTGAGGCTTTTAATTTTAGTCAATCAGCATTTGTCATATGGAATACTGATCAGGGATTCAACAAGAGCCTCCAAAACCATCTGATTACTTAGTTTATAAAATTGTTATTTGGAACTTTCCCAAAGACCACTATTGAGAAGTGTTAAACAGACCTCTATGGTAGAAGGATAGTAAGGAAAATGTGTTAAATTTGGGTTCAATTAAACAATTCTTCAGGAATGAGTTGTTAGCAAGCTACTGTTTCTTATTTTTCTGACTGGGACTAGAAAGCTTAGTGGAAATAGATTAAGTACCAGTATCCCCAYATTCATGTACCAAATCTATAAGTTTCTCTTTTCCTATGCAGTTGCCTAAAGGATCAAGCATGGCAGTTAATATCCTCCTATAAATTACTTTAGATGATAGAGTCCTCCCTTCTAACACTTAATGAGATCATAAAGTGGGTGAGGACAAGGTGTGGTATCTTGAGAGCAACTTGAGGGTGGAGTGCCACAGGTGACAGTTCTAATAGCTAGAGGGCAGAATGAGGGCAATAAACAGGAGGGGAAGGGGAAGGGTGATGAGCAGGTAAAAGATTTGTAAAAAGGAGGAATCTTTTTCTCCCTTGAAATTCTACCTGGGCCACTTGGGGGATGGTCTGCCACTGAAAGTCACCTAAATGATGGACTAGAAAAACACCAAAATTATCTCATGGGATCCTTCAAAGGCTCTACCTCACCCGTACTTTCAGACAAAATAAAGTTCAAAGTATAATAAATGAATAATCTTGATTAGCAACACTTTTCTCCAGCCATACCTCCACTAGTCCACTTCTTCAAATGTCCATGCCTCCCCCCTTTTTTAAGAGAAAGGGTTTTGCCATGTGTGGTGGCTCAGGACTGTAATCCCAGTTATTCAGGAGGCTGAGGAAAAGGGCCACAAGTTCAAGGATGGCCTCTACAACTTTTTGACACCTTGTCTGAAAATAAAAAATTAAGAAGGGCTAGGATGTAATGTAGCTCAGGGGGTTCAATCGCCAGTCTCTCCCTCCCTCCCTCCCTCTCTCACACACACCCCCAAAGAAAGAAAAAAGAGATAGGCTTTTGTTACGTTGCCTAGGCTGATCTCAAGCTCTTGGGCTCAAGTGGTCCTCCTATCTCGGCCTCCAGAGTAGCTGGGACTACATTTGCAGTGCACCACACCTTGTCAGTGCCTTATATCTGTTGATTCTGCACGATTCTTTATCCCCTTCTCTGGGGCATCAACTTTACCTCATTCTTGCAAATTTAAAATAAACATAATTGTCTTTTCAGACAAAAATTATTATTTGGAACTCAGGAAATACCTTAGCATCACCATTACTATAAACAATAGTCACTGTTCCTTTACAGGTTTGTTTCCTAAAGTTGGTCATGACATGGAGAAATGGGATAGTGGTCAAAATGATTGAAAGGCTGTGACATTGGTATTAGTAAAAACAAAAGCTCAGGGTTACTGAGCTTGGTGAAAAAGATATCTGGAAGAAGGAACCGGAAATAAACAAGTTATTACATAACAGAAGGGATGGAGGTTGTAGTTCTTGTTTTCATTAGAGAACAAGAAATTATACACAGGAAGTTTCAGACAAGATTTCTTACTACATAAAGATTGCAAGACACTGAAGGTGACTACTAAGGGAATCTGTGAACCCTACTATTAAAATAATTACCAGCTTTGAATTGTCTTGAGGATTATATAAAAACCAGAGTAGAGGTCTAAGGATGTAGCTCAGTAGTAGAGTACTTGCATAAGTGCCACCAAGGCCTTGAATTCAATCCCTGGTACTGCACAACAACAACAACAAAAAAGCGATGTAAAAGAACTAGTATGGAGCCAGGCTCACGCTGTGACTATTCTTTTCCTATGTGTTCTTTAAAGGCTGTCAGAAAACGGCTGGGGTCCTCTAGGAAAACGTACTATGACCAAATAATGCTGAAATTCTTTTCCTTCCACGAAACCATCTGTAATATGGTCTCCATGTCATTCTCTCTATTGTAATGTTTAATTAAAAATTAATGCCTTAAGGGCTGGGGTTATAGCTCAGTGATAGAGCGCTTGCCTCGCACATGTGAGGCATTRGGTTCGGTCCTCAGCACCACATAAAAATAAATAAAGTAATAAAGTAACAAAACAACCCCAACACACTGCCTTAATCTATGAAGCGGTGGATCTGGGAATACTACATTTTGTCCAAAAAATACGGCACTTATTTAGTTCGCAAACGGCACTTTGAAGTTATCCAAATTTTCGGGGGGCGGTGTCAGGAGGATATTCAAATATAGCCAGGTATTCTAACGTAGAGGGTATTCAAATATACTTTTGGAGCGCACGGTGGGTCAGAAATTCTGGTTAAGTATCGATATTTAAGAAGAACAAGAGGGCCTGACCAGGAAAGSACAGCCTCAGCCGCCGAAGGTATAGAAACGGATCAAATCAGACCAGGAAAAGACGGCTCCAGATACCCAAGGTAAAGAAAAAGGATCCAACTCAAACCGAACGTGCATCGCTAGGAACTGGCTGGCAGGAAAAGAGAAGTTTCATACGTTAATTTGGAGACTTAACAGGAACCAAATGCTACGGGAAAACTTCCCAAGCAAAGGGGCCCAAGAGAGCGGACTCGMAGCCATTAGAGCAAAAAGAGCTTGAAAAGGTACCGGAGCGCAACCCAGAACCCACCCGCACCAGCCTCATACCTGCGTTCCCCTTCTCCTCCTGGGCTCCTAGTGATGACCTCATCAGCCGCGTCCAATCCCATTAAGCGTCGAACGCGAGGCGCCTCAGCCGAACAGTCACATCCGGGGCCGAGAGGAACAGCCAGCGAGCTGGGCGTGCGCCCTTGCTTCGTGCCCTCAACCCGCATGGCGGAGCCACCGGCGCGCCTCGAGGAGGCTGGGCGAGTCGGGAGGTTTCGGCGCCCGCACTGAGCCGCGGGGGAGGGGCAGGGGACGCCCGTGCAGCCGGTGCTTCTGCCCTCAGTGAGGCGGGGCGCGCAGCGGACGCCCCCGGGCAGGGGCGGGAGTGGTGGAGGCGCCGGCGGTTGGCCCTGAAAGGGGCGGTGAGCGAGCTGCTCCGGTCTCAAGGCGAGGCTTGGCCTCCCGCGCAGAGACGGGGGAAAGCGGCGGAGGCGGCGGCCCTCGGGCCGGCTGGTGAGGTGATGGCGGCGCCGGGCCCGGGGGCTGGGGCAGCCTCGGGCGGCGCTGGCTGCAGCGGTGGCGGCGCGGGCGCAGGCTCCGGGTCCGCGGGGCTCGGGGGCCGGCTGCCCAGCCGGGTGCTGGAGTTGGTGTTCTCCTACCTGGAGCTGTCGGAGCTGCGGAGCTGCGCCCTGGTGTGCAAGCACTGGTACCGTTGCCTACACGGCGATGAGAACAGCGAGGTGTGGCGGAGCCTGTGCGCCCGCAGCTTGGCAGAAGAGGCTCTGCGCACGGACATCCTCTGCAACCTGCCCAGCTACAAGGCCAAGGTGAGGGAACCCCGGGTCACACTACTGCCCTTAGTCCAGTCTTCCGCGCCGCTCTCTGTGCTTCCTTTAAGCTTCTAGTCTCACCATCCCGCCTTTCCACCGCTCCTTCCTCACATTCCCCCTCCATAAAGATCCTCTTTTCTTTTGGATTGAAGTTGTGCTGCTTAACCCACCCGACTTTCGTGTCCACTTTTAAAAGAGTGGATGGTTTCCCACCACTTGTATCAATCAATCACTCGTTCTACTTTTCAACCCTCTTTCCTCTTAAGGACGGACCACCAACTATTGTTCCTTAAAATACTCTGATCTTTTTTTTCTCCTTGGTCTCCATATAGACTTTTATAAGATAATTTTGCTTTAATATGGGCTTAGTGTATGAGATCTTTGCATTCATTTAATCTCTTCCAAGCTCTGATTTATAATCACATTTTCTTTATACCCCTTCCATTGAATTTCCAGCTTACAAGTGTGGTCCTAGGTACACTGCTAACTAAAGACACAGAACATCCTTCCATCCGCACCAGATAATTGTCCTAATACTGCCTTGTGCTACTGTTATTGACTTCTTCCTTGCTAACTTTTTCATAGTTCTACCTTGATGTTTCTCTTCTGTTCCATTTGTCATCTAACATGCCGGTTCCAGTTTTTGCTGCTTCCTTTTCTTCCCCCTAGATTCTTGTCCATATTCCTGTCACCTTCATAATAGAAAATAAAAATGCCAAGTAACAGGTTGAGGTAGGGCCCCGAGGTTTCTCCAGGACATATAAACAAGGGATCCAGAGATGGATAGCAGCTTTTTCTTTTCATTTTCTTTCTTCTTATTATTTTTTCTTCCTGATACTGGAGATKGAACCCAGGGATGCACCACTTCCAACCTACATTTTCTAGCCCTTTTAATTTTTTTGTATTTTGGGACAGAGTCTTGTTAAGTTGCTGAGGCTGGTCTCATACCATAATTCTCCTGTCTCAGCCTCCGGAGTAGCTGGAATTATAGGCAAATAAGAGAGTGCAGAAGATTGCAATTCTTTTCTACTTTGCCTGATAAATGTATGAGTTTCATGAGTGGTTTTTTGTTTTTAATTTTTAAAGTTTTTCTTATAGAGTTTATTTTTGCTTATATTAAATTAAGATTTTTTTGATAATTTACTTCTAATAGATATGTATCTTACAAATATTAGATAATGTGTTCATGTGAGTCAAGCTTCAATGAAAGCACAATGATATAAAGCCAGGTCTTCCCTTGGGCCCTTTCTTGAAGGCAACCAGTTCCCCTCCTTGGAGACAACTTGTGTTACTATTTGGTTTGTATTCTTCATGCATTTAGATATTCCAGGCTTGTACTACTAATCATAGGTTCTTTTAGATGTTACAGGACCATTTTTAAATGTCTTAAGGATGAAAGATTAGTTCAGAAGAAGTCAGATACTGTCTACTAGGGAAGTCATTGAGTAGAAAATTGGAGGTTTGAAGTTGAGGTTTTATTGAGCCCAATTTTAAAGAAGAGATGGATTTGGATATCCTATGAGGAGGAAGTATTTTGAACAGAAGGTGAACAAGAGGAAATCAGAGGTACCATGCTTAATTTTGCAGATGTAATGGTGAATAAAAATACCCCACAAACTCAGAAAGGGGGGAATCTTATGAAAATCAAAAGGAGATCAGTTTAATAGAGGAAAGGGAGCAGGCAGTGGGGAGGGGAGGAAAGGAGAAGTACAAGGGAGTGATATTGGCTAAATTACATTGCTGTATTGTGTCCATGTATAAATAATGTAACAATAAATCCTACCATTATGTACAAATCTAATTTACCAATAAAAAATGTGGAGGGAAATAAGTTATGATAAAATTAGGGGAGGGGGGAATAAAGACAGAATCCTTAAAAAAAAAAAAAGCAAACTCTTATGAATGCCTTGTCTTATGGAGTTTACAGTCTAGTCGGGGAATGAATATTGCATCTGATAAGTACCATGAAGGAGAGACACATGGAGTTCTGAGATTCAGTTATGGGAGAATTTGACATAGGTTGGAGGTCAGGGAATGCTTTCTTCATAGGAAGTGATGCATGAACTGAGATCTGAAGGATAAAGATAAATAGGCCAAGGGGAGAGAGAAGAGCCATTTAAGAGAATCTGATGAGTATAAGGGACAGAAAATATGTCTATGTGGCTGGAGCATAGAGAGCAAGCTGGTTTGAGATAAGATGGAAGAAGTGGACTGGGGCCAGACTATAGGGAAGCCATTTCAAATTGTAATCGGGAGGAATTTAGGGATATGGGGATTAATGTTATGATTATTTTGCATTTTTGGGAGATATTTCTGGCATTACTATGTATGAGAGGTAGGTGGGGGGACCTTAGAGATATGATAGACAAAAAAATTAGAAAGTAGATAGTGAAGGAGATGGAGTGAAATTAATAGATTTAGGAAGGTAAATCTGCAGAATTTGGCAATAGATTTGAAACGGATGAGAAAGAGGGAGGTGCCAAGGATGACTCTTAGGTATCTGGCTTACATAATATGGGAATAACTTTGGCTAGGTTTAGAGGACTGGCAACAAACAAGTTCATTTGGGGTAGATTAGAATTTATGGTGTTTTTGAGAAATCAGCAATTACAGGTAGGTAGCTGTTAAAGGCTCTAGCTAGAGTAAATGTCTAGGTTAAAAATATAAAACAGTTCAGTTATATTGAATGAATGAATGMAGAGGAATATGATTGTAAACATAAGCTGGACTGGGTATATCATGAAATGAGCCTTTTGAAATATAGCTTTCAGTATATTGTTTGAACTTTGTTCTATAGTTGGAAAACCCATAGAAGTTTGACTGGAAGAGTGACAAAATAAAAGCTGTGCTTTAAAGAGACTAGGCCATCTGGGCACAATGTCACATGCCTATACTCAGGAGGCTGAGGCAGGAGGATTACAAGTTCAAGATAAGCCTGGGCAACTTAGACCCTGTCTCAAAATAAAAAGGGCTGGGGGTATAACTTAGTGGTAAGAGTGCCACTGGGTTCAATCTCCAGTACCACAAAAATAAAGATGGGGGGCCATAAGATGAACTGAAGAGGGCAGAGGTTAGTGCATATACCAGAAATACAGTATAGAGGAAAGAAGTAGATGACTGGGAGAGCTATCATAAACAACAAATCCATGTAGATGGGCAGCTAACTGGGTGAGTGGGGTAAGGAGCAGAATCAAGTAGAATTTCTGTGGAGCCTGAATAAAGGATCGAAACAGATTTGGGATAACTACAATTGAAAAGTATTAAAGTTTTGTCAGTCTATTTGGTTTTCTCCTTTTTTTTTTTTTTTTCTTTTCCTTTTTTAAATTTGCTTGTTTGTTTGCTGAGAATCAGGCCTCATGCATGCTTGGCACATGGTCTGCTAACACATCTAATCCCAGCAGTTTTCTTTCTTTTTTAAATTTTGTTCTTTTTAGGGGCTGGAATGTGGCTCAAGCGGTAGCGCACTCGCCTGGCATGCGTGTGGCCCGGGTTCAATCCTCAGCACCACATACAAACAAAGATGTTGTGTCTGCCGAAAACTAAAAAATAAATATTGAAAAATTCTCTCTCTCTCTCTCTCTCTTTAAAAAAAAAAAAAATTGTTCTTTTTAGACAGGAGTTTTCTTTTTAAAAATTCATGTTTTACATGTCACCAAATAGCATTAGTTAGTCCCATAATACTTGTCATCTGATTGTCTAAATTTCAGACTTAAGCTAGGTCTTAAAGCTATTTACTATAATGTAAAATCCAAGTTGTTATGAGACTGAGACAGAAGCTATGGATTGTTTTATTTGGTATTTTTCCATTTCATCTGGATTTTTTCAGTATCCATTTCTATTAGACAATATAATGATACCGTTAATCACTTCTAAAAAGAAAATAATTTTCTTAATATAAAATATGCAGTGTTCTAATTTCTGATTCTCAAATTTTATTATTATGGTTTATTTAATTTATATAAGGCTATCATGGCAAACTGTTAATTGTGTCTCTAGGCTGTTTTAGTATACAGATTGACTCTGCATCTTTTCTTTTTTTTTAATATATATATATATTTTTTTAGTTGTAGTTGGGCACAATACCTTTATTCCATTCATTTATTTTTATGTAGTGCTGAGGATCAAACCCAGGGCCCCTGTGCATGCTAGGGCCCCTGTGCATGCTAGGCGACTGCTCTACCGCTGAGCCACAATCCCAGCCCCACGCATCTTAACATCTCATCCCTGCAACTTCTTTGTCATGAGATTGGATTTTGCTGATTTCATGGTGTTGTTTAGCATGTTCTTCTGTCCCCCATATTTACTACAGAAATTTGATAAATTTAGATTAGATTTTTTTTGGCAAGATACTTTTACTAGAATCAAGTGGTTAGAGGTATGTTAGAAAGTAAAATCTATATAATTAAGTGTTGTATGATATAGACGATGGTGGATAGGAATTCAGAAGATAAAGAGATTCGATGGCCTTGGTTAAGAATAGCTTCATGGAGGTGGTGTTAGAGAATGTGTAGGAGGAGGCAAGCAGAAAGGATACAAGGAAAGTAGAAAAGGAAATAAGAATCTAATCTGGAGATTTTCAAAAGCCAGGCAGAGGAGCTGTACACCTATAATCCCAGCAACTTGGAATGCTAAGGCAGGAAGATCACAAGTTCAAAGTCAGCCTTAGCAATTAAGCGAGGCCCTAAGCAACTTAGTGAGATCCTGTCTCAAAATAAAAAATAAAAAGGCCCTGGGTGTGGCTCAGTGGGTAAGCGCGCCCCTGGGTTCAATCCCTGGTACCCCACTCCCCTGTAAAAAAAAAAAAAAAAAAAAAAAAAAGCCAGGCAGAAGAATTTGCAATTGATATGGTACTAAATATTGGAACTGTTAAAGGTTATTAACTGGGGTAAGATGCAATAAAGATGCTGTTTTAGAAAGACAGGCCTGGAAAGAATTCATGGTGAAGGACTGGAGAATTTAAGGAGGCAGAGGAATGGTGGCCAATAAAAAGAATATAATTGGGGATCACTACAGTAAAATAGGAAGATGTCACAGAAATTAGAGGAAGAGGTTATTAATTGATCAGTATGACAAAGAGAATAAAGATAGAAAAAAAAGCAGCTGGAATTTGTGAGACTTGAAGAATAAGCATAGGGAAATATTAATTAAAAAAAACTTTTTTTTGATTGTGGGGATTGAACCCAGGGGTACTTAACCACTGAGCCACATCCCCAGTCCTTTTAATTATTATTTATTTATTTATTATTTTTGAGACAAGGTCTTGCTAAGTTGCTGAGGGCCTCTATAAATTGCTGAGGCTGGCTTTGAACTTGCAGTCCTCTGGCTTCAACCTCCCAAGTCACTGGGATTACAAGCGTGTGCCACTGAGCCCTGCTAAATATTTTATAGTGAGGAATTATTTTGCTTGATGTTATTCTCTTGAGTGATTAAGATAATGCTTGTGAGGGGACATTTTCTTTCCTTATTTACTTTTACTTCTGATCTTTTAGGTGCTCACAAGTATATAATAATGGACAAGATAGGGAAAACATTAAGACTACATCTGTTTTACAGCCTCCTTATGAAAACATGGGGTACCTAAAAGAAGCAGTTTAAAACTGCTGTACAGTGCAACAATGAAACAGTAAAGTACTAGCTAATGGAATTGAACATTTACTGAGGGGACTAGATACCTGATTTCTCTTGGGGGCTCCTGCATTACCTAGCTGTTGACAGGTTTGTGTTTTTACCCGAGTTTGGAGTAAATGACCTTTAAGGTCCTTCATAATGCTGACTGTGACTCTGGTATAGATTTCTCTGGTTAACAAGAGCAATAGGTCTATCTTCCACTGCTTTGGGGTAGTTTGAATAAAGAAAGGATTGTAATTTTATTTTTTTTTATTTATTGCTGTGCTGAGATTGAACCTAGGGCCTCCCTCATGCTAAATATGTGCTTTAGCACTGAACTACATCCTCATCCAAGAAGGAAAATTTTAAAATAATATAGAAGGCAATTTTTTTATTAATTATTAAAATAGGAGGKTTTTTTTGTAGAGGGGAACTATTTAGAAGAAACTATTTATTTAGAAAAATTTGTAATTACTGAAGGATCCTATTGTTAACTGCTCTTAATGACTATCTCTTTATAAAAAAGTCTACTGTTTGAGTTTAGATGTTATCTAGGAGATTATTTGATTTGGAAAAATCAGAGTGGTCATGTCTTAGTGTATGAGTAATACCTAGAAAATAAACTAAGGACCTAAGGTAGTTTGTGGCTAATAAARTTTTTATAAGTTATAGAGCTGCTATAACTAAGGTCTTTATTTTGTATATTATTTATACATATACAAACATGTGTTGACATGCAAATATATGTGTACATGTATTTATGCATAAATATATACTTACACATTTATATATACAAATATGTTTTATACAAATATGTGTGTGTGGTGCTGGGTATTGAACCCACAGCTTTGCATATGCTAGGCAAATGTTCTATCACTGATCTATATTCCCAGCCCTAAAATATAATTGTTTTCCATGGCATCATTGCTAATATCAAAAAAATTTTTTTTWAATTTTTTTTTAGTTGTAGATGGACACAATACCTTTATTTTATTTGTTTATTTTTATGTGGTGCTGGGGATTCAACTCATTGCTTCATGCATGCTAGGCAATTGCTCTACCACTGAGCCACAACCCTAGCCCCTGAAAAAAAAWTTTTTTTAAACATTTATTTATTTATGTATTTTTAGTTTTAGGCGGACACATTACTTTGTTTTTATGTGGTGCTGAGGATCGAACCCGGTGCCTCACGCATACTAGGCGAGCGCTCTACCACTGAGCCACAGCCCCAGCCCCCCTGAAAAATTTTTTATATAAAAAGATCAAATGTAGGCAAAAGCAGAGAAAATAGTTTGAGCTTCCCTATACCATCACCAGGCTTTACCAGTGACCAGTCACAAATCTATGGTCATGTTTACCTCATGCACTCTCCCACTCCTGAGTATTTTAAAGCAACTCTTAGATATCATTATTTCATCCATAAACATTTCGGTATTATCTCTAATGATATAAGGATTCTTGTATTTTTTTTTTTTAATGTTTTAAGAAGTCCATTTGGAGAAATACTGTAATTTGAAATTTGGTCAGTAATGAAACATTTTGCAGTAATTCTGTTTATGTATTTATATGTATAGGTATGTACATATTTATTTTAAGAGACAGGGTTACTGTGGTTAGGTTACTATATTGCCCATACTGGTCCTGAATTCTTGGGCTCAATTGATTCTCCCACTACCTCCCAAGTAGCTGGGACTGTAGGCATGCTCCAGTTTCTGGCTCCAGTTGGTGGGGGAGGTGTGCATGTGTTACTAGAGATGGAACCCAGGATTTCTGTACCACTGAGCTATGTCCCCAGCCCTTTTTATTTTTTATTTTAAGAAAGGGTCTTGCTAAGTTGCAAAGACTGGCCTCGGACTTGCAATCTCCTGCTTCAGCCTTCAGAGTTGCTGGAATTACAGGCATGTGCTACTATACCACCACATTTTGCATTTGGCAGTTATCTTAATGTTATGCAATGTTTTATGTTAGTATCCCATCCTGAAACTTTAGCCATTATTTGGAATACTTATTATGTTATTTAAAAATATATAAACTTATTTTTTAGAAACATATAGTCTGAAGTTTGGGTATTTCTCAGTGTTTAAGAAAAAACAAATTTCTTTTTCTTTGGTCTATTGTCTTTTTAGGTACGTGCTTTCCAACATGCCTTCAGCACTAATGACTGCTCCAGGAATGTCTATATTAAGAAGAATGGCTTTACTTTGCATCGAAACCCTATCGCTCAGAGCACTGATGGTGCAAGGACCAAGATCGGTTTCAGTGAGGGCCGCCATGCATGGGAAGTGTGGTGGGAGGGCCCTCTGGGCACTGTGGCAGTGATTGGAATTGCTACAAAACGGGCCCCCATGCAGTGCCAAGGTTATGTGGCATTGCTGGGAAGCGACGACCAGAGCTGGGGCTGGAATCTGGTGGACAATAATCTACTACACAATGGGGAAGTCAATGGCAGTTTTCCACAATGCAACAATGCACCAAAATACCAGGTGAGAAACTGTTTTCAGGTGTGGGCCTTTGTCCAGTCACACCTTAATTTGTTTTAGGCTTATAAATTTTTATATAGCAGCTATGTCTTTTCTGATAATTTTAAAGTAAATGGTATATATGATGTATCTCTATCTGTTAATGCATATTCCACCATAAACAACTCATCTTTGTTCTAGATTGAGGATTGGGAAACATTTTCTGTACAAAGTCATAAAGTAAGTATTTTAAGCTTTGCAGTCAATACAATCTCTATCACAGCTTTCAACAGTTGTTATAGCACAAATGAGCTGTAGATAATATATGAACAAATGAACATGACTGTGTTCTAATAAGATCTTATTTATGGGCTGCAGGACAGATTTGGCCCAGGRATTATAGTTTGTGAGTTCTTGATCAAGATTTCATCTTTCCTATATCATGGCATATCCAAATTATTGTTTTCTACGTATCTCAGCTCAACAAATGCACCTATATACATACACATGCATACTCACCCTCTGCTAGCTACTTATTAATCTGTGGATTCAAAACCCTTGGAGGTGTCAATAATTTCTAGAGACAGACAAGTTCAGACAAACTGCTAGAGTTTTTAATTATTTTCACCTTAGCCTTAAGGCATACTCATTTTATTCTGGAGTCAAAATTATAATTACTATTTCTAAAAGCCTTATTACTGTAGATGTGATAGTGTATTTTCTTCTAACCTTTTTTTAAAAAATTATTTGATTAATTATTTATTTTTATGTGGTGCTGAGGATTGAACCCAGTGCATTGCACTTGCTAGGCAAGCGCTCTACCACTCAGCCATAACCCAGCCCTTCTGACTGTCTTTTGATGTCTTTTTGCAGATAGGAGAAAGAATTCGAGTCATCTTGGACATGGAAGATAAGACTTTAGCTTTTGAACGTGGATATGAGTTCCTGGGGGTTGCCTTTAGAGGACTTCCAAAGGCCTGTTTATATCCAGCAGTTTCTGCTGTATATGGCAACACAGAAGTGACTTTGGTTTACCTTGGAAAACCCTTGGATGGATGACAGTGGCTTTCTTGGGATGAAAGACAGACTGGAGAAGAGATCTACTTGTGGAAAGTAGAATCATGAAGTGACAGTGTCATATGTGCATGTCCAAGAAACATCCTGAAAAACACATGTAAACTGGAGAAGCAACTCTATTAACAGATTATCTTAGTGTTTCCTCTTTCCACTGGGCCAGAAAAATCCTCAGGGTTGCAGTTGGTTGAGTGGGCAGTTGACATATGCATGTTGCAACAGATTTTGTCTCTATGTTAGCAATGTGTTATTTCCAACTTTAAAGGTGAGATTTTAGGGACATCCGTAAAAGGGATAAGGATTTTTAAGTAATGCGTTTGTGAAAAAGATTGATCCCATCTTACAACTGCCTGTTTTTTCTCAAGTCCCTTTTTTTCCAGCCAGCTTGACTATTAGAAAAGTATGAAACTGGTTGGGTTTTATTTAATATTTTTAATATATTGAGAAGCATGGTCTGCTTGGACTGCACTTCTCTAACAATGAGAAATAAAATTGTGCAGCTATTTTAAGAGTTGTATATACAATATGTGTGTAAAAAAGAACTGTAAAAAAGAAAAAAAGGACAAAGGGTTGCTTTGTTCTATTTCAATTTCTTAAAAACCACTACATGGTACAAAATCAAAATAACATTTAGGGACAATTRGGTAACTACAAAGAGGAGGATTTTAAGAGGAGATGTGTTGTATTGGCTCATTTGGTCTTACTTTTGATTCAGTTCCCATAACTGTTATAGTCTGTTGTCTGTTGTTGGCTTGTTTTGATTTTTGTTTAGTTAAACCATCAAAATTATAGTTAAGACTCCTCAATCTCCTGGCTAAAGATTGAGGGAAGACAAGTCTATTTCTGATTATTCATATATCAGTAAAGATGATCTAAACATAATAGTAATATACGTATTTTGGGGGTTTTTTTGGCTTTCTGAGAAAGTGTCTCATAACAGAAAACAATGCCATGTGCTCTTACAGTCCTCAAATATGAACGATATTAGTCATACAACCTAGGAAAAGAATTAATTAATGATTCTTTTATTTTTAACTTTATAATGCTGTAGATATTAAAGTTTTTTAATTTCATGTTGTTTACATCATGTAACAGTCCAAGCCTCAAACTCTTCATTGGGGCTATCAAAAAATGTTTACCTATCCATCTGAAACAGTGCCAACCTGAACCCAGGTTAATTTTATTAATCTCATTATAGATAATTGCCCCCATGGGACTTGAAATATAACACCTTGTGCTGAGAACTTCAGGTTGGCAATGTTTTGGAATTTTCATTGGAGGAGAGCTTAACATCCTATTTTGATAAATCTTTTTTTTCTCATTAACACTCTTTTGAATTAATAATACAACACATATGAGCTGAGATTTTTCTTTTGTTAGAAGAGAAACAAACATCTTTCTGTATGAAAGTATAAATTGTATGGTTTCAGATATATAAGAATTAAGACAAGTGAAATATTTGTACTTTTTAAATTATTGCCGTATGTATAATTTTAAATCTAATAAAATTAGGGACAGCAAGCAGCTTGCTGGGGTTCTTGGGTTGCTCCTTGAGAGTTAAAATTATCAAAATCCCTATGAAGCAGGATTTGTCAGCCATAGAACAAAGATTTGTTATTATTACCTGAAAGTTTTACAAGTATTTATTGTGCATTTGGTATGTTGTTTGAAACAAAAAAAAGATTGTTAAAGATTCTTTTCGATATCCATGTCAAGAAAAAGCTGCCTTGTACAGAGTGAAAGTATATGTTAAATGTATTAGAGAATATAACTGACACAGGAATTGGTTTTTCTTGGTGTAGAACAACTCAATTGGTTAAATCTGAATGATTAAAGAGAACTGGTTCAGGATGAAGATTGACTAGTTACAAAGTGATAAAGACCTTTAAGTACTTGTTGCATTTTCAGGTTGTGATATGGTCAATTCCAAGAGCATCTGCTAAGAATTTTGTTTATAACTTCTATTTTGTCTTGTTAGTAAATGTTCATTTACAACAAAGTTTTGAAGGTGCTTATTGGAAAACAAAAACATGGTTATTCATTCCATATTGAACCTAGAGTCCAATAATTGCCTAAATATTTAACATCAAGCCATTCTTATATCAAAGATTTGAATTCCCAAATATCCCCTTTGCAAGTTTTGTAAAATGGAGTTTCGTAGTTAGCATGAGCATCAGGAGAATAAAGAATCTTCATTTATATCCTGATGGATCAATTTGTTACTAGAGACCAGCAGTGACTGTCCAGATGATTAAAACAAACTGCTACCATATTCAAGGAGGTCTCTTTTTCATTGTTGCTGAGAGAGCATTTAGGTAGAAGATAGTTGTACCTGAAGATTGAATATAAATCACTTAAACCAATAGTTCTCAACCTTGCCTGTATTTGGAATCACTTTGGAGTTTGTTTTAAAATATTTATATTTACCAGGCTCAGGGGCACACACCTGTAATCTTGGCAAATTGGGAGAAGGATTGAAAGTGGGAGGCCAGACTCAGCGACTTAGGGTGTCTCTGTCTCAAAAAAAAAAAAAAAAAAAGGCTGGGAATGTAGCTCAGTGGTAGAGTGCCCTGGGTTCAATCCTCAATACCATAGGAAAATAAAAAATTTATGCTTGGGTCCCATATCCTAAGACACTGATGTTCATCCAGAATGTGATCTGGCCTAAAGGATATTTTAAAACTTCCTGGTGATTCCAATAAGCCACCAAGGTTGAGAACCATTATTCTAAAACTCACCTACTTTTCTCATCTGCAAAATAGAAAATTCTTGCTCCCTCCCTTCACTACCTCACAAGGATATTGAGGGTAAAGGAAAAAATAAGGGGAAAGTGCTTGTGCTAAGGATGAAAGGCAAAGTAATATTTGTTCTATTTCAACTGCAACCATGATCAGGAAAAAATGTGTAATTGAATTTACTGTGTTGCCTTGGATAACTGGGAGCTCACTCTTTGGTTCTTTTAATGAAGTATGCAGATGTGGAAGCAAACATTACCATTACCCATATTCAGATGATGGTCTTCTGTCATACTTGAGATAGACTGTTTTTATTTATCTGATTTTACATAGGAAAGAAAGGACTATCAATAGGTTTAAAGTCTGTAATGATGTTCATTGGCTTATAACTCATTAAAATTTTTCATACAAGGAATTTTGTGGTTAATAGATATCATTTCATAGTTGCCATTTACTTTTTCATTATTTTGACTTTTAAATATCAAGCTATTTATTTCATCTTTCATTCTTATTCATATAAGGTAAGGCACCTAAAGCCAAGTAGGTCTTGCCCAGTTGAATATATGAAATCATGGCTTAATGATTAGGCCTCTTCTGCCTTTCACATATGATTTGACTGGGGAGTTTAAAAAATAACAAACCCCTAAACTTTATAGAAATGATTATTAACTTTTAACCTAAGTCCCCAAACTACTCTTTATGTAAACTGTAACTAGTATTTTTTGGCTAATTTTAAGAAATGAACTGTTTGAAGAGATAGAAGTTTAAGGAGTTAAAAGATTACTTTCCAGAAATCAAGACCACCATAGTTGGGACTGTGGTAGATAGGCCCACTTTGAAGCCTTTATTAGGAAGGAAGAGTCCATACCCAAGCCAAATGCAATCCTTATAAAACATTCCTCAATCCCTTTAGCTGAATGTAATCTCTCCTTCCTTGAAATTTTCTTAGTTTTATATGTATCTATACTTAACTCATGCTGTATGACTTTATACTTTGCATAAAATTATTTATATTTATTGATTATTTATTGGTGTCTTAACTCCCTAAACTAGGACAGGGTCTCTGATGGACTCATCTTTGTGTTCACATCTTTAAGCTCAATAGGCTTACATATATGTTGAGGAACAGAGAACTACATAGAAAGACAAAAGTTCCTCTACAGTTACAGGATATTTAACAAAAGATAGATGAGAAAGAAATTCTTTGTCCTAGTCCAAGTGAAGCAGAAAGGAAAGAGATGCAAATCCAAGGCTAATGAAGAAAAAATAATTATTGTGAATGCATTTTAGCCATTCCCCTTTATTTGTAAATATTGGTAAACTGATTTTTAGTTCTTGGTGTAGATTTTGTATTTGTTTAGAATTGAAACTAGAATTCTGTATTTTAATTTTTTGGAATTCTGTTGTTTTGCTTTAGTTTCCTAATAAAAAGTTAAAACAAAGCTTAACCACCTGTGATTGCTTACATTTTGGAAAGGAAAAATTTTATACATTGGTCAGAAAAATTGGGGTGCCTTGTAGCCAAAGGTAGTGAAGAAATTAACCTATAAATTCCATGACTTTTAACAATAGAATGTTTAGAAGGGAACGTAGACAGGGAACAGTAATTCTGTAGGTCTTGTTCCTTGTTGGCACAACCCCAGCTAACAGTTGATAATGTAGGTTGTTTGCCAAGAGTTAGAAGAGGCAGCATACTAGTCTAGGACTGGCTTATCAAATGGCCTCCAAGATACAAAGCTTAGAAGAGAATCAGTGCATGTTGCTAAAAGTTTCTTAATATATTAACGTTAAAATTAATTTCCCAACAGAAAATTAAGGAGGTGTGAAATTTCTGTATCTTTTTTGTTTAGTGGAAAGAGACGATAGGGACAGCTTTACCAGTCTGTTGTCCTAGTTTCATTTTTAGATCCTCCCCCAAACCAATTGCTTTTTATTTAATGTAGTCATTAGAATATTGTTGACAGCATCATGTTCTCTAATCTTAATATAGTTTCCTGAAAGCAGTCCTGCAGGATTTAAAGTTGTCATGCATTATTCAGCCTTTGTACATAGGATTTCATAATGATTGACTCAAGAATCTTTAGGGAGTTTCCTTAGGTCACCCTATTGTGGTGTTTAATTTGTTTCTTTTAAACAGGAGAGCATAAGAAAAAGATAAGGGAAGTCAAGCCCTATCCTATGGTGTGATACTTAGTATGATATCTGTATTCTGTTCCTTTCCTCTACAAATAAATTGGGAGAGGTGAAATAAAATAATGGGAATGGTTTTAAGTTCCTATCCCCCTTAAGAAAGACTCCTTRAAATAATTTTTTAAAATAGTATCCTAAATTTGATTAATTAAAGGTGTATTATAATGAGAATAGATGATGTACCTGTTAATTTTAATGTAGCTATTTTGTTTTTTTTTTTTTCCCTGCCGGTTTATTCGTCTATGCCCTTTGTTGACCACCTCCAACTTTGAAGGAAAGCAGGCTTAAGGTTAGGATGAGTTGTCAGTAACATCTATCCCCACACCCCCCCCCCCAATAGGCCAAAGAATGATATTGTTCATGGCCAAATTTTCCAGAGCAGTAGAAGACAGATGGCTATTTGCTGAAAGGCATAGTGGTAGCAAAGACTGAATCAAATTTTTGGAAGCAGCTGAATGCATCCATGCTTTCAAATACAGCCTATTGGAATAGTGAACTTAAGTACCTATGGAATCATATGGAACTGTTACTGACTCCCTGGGCCATGTAGCTGTAACTGCACCATAGCTTCTGAAATTATGAAGGATCTCCCTGCCCACCTATAGTAACTCAGTAATTTAGAAAGAATGAAAAAATARTTAAGAATTCATTAAATGAGGGTCTGGGATCATGGCACAGTGGTAGAGTGCTCATCTAGCACGTGTGAGGCACTGGGTTCTATCCTTGGCACCACATAAAAATAAATAAAACAAAGGTATTGGGTCCATCTGTGACTAAAAACAATATTTAAAAGAATTCATTAAATAGATTCTTGTGCCTATTATGTACCAGGCTCTTGTCAGTTACTAGGGATGTGCTAGTAAGATATAATAGGGATATGGAGGGGGCAGAGAAAGGTCTACTCTGAAGTTGCTTATAAGTTAGTATGAACACAAATGTGGAAATAGACTACCATGAAACAGTGGAATAGTTGCTTTAGTGAAATTGTGTATGAGGTCCAGGGTGGCATAGGAGACTGAATATTCAACTTAACCTGGGGTGAGATAGCTAAGTGGTGTCTTTTGATTAAGATTTATATTAATGAAGATTGTAGGAAGAGGGAGTAGTATGTGCTGTGATACAAAGGCATAAGGAGGTCCAGTATATCTGAAAATGATGCATACTGGAGAAATGGGACAGGGCATGGATCAAGGAAACTGAGGCCAGGTCATAATAGTCAATCTAAGGAGTCAAGAGTGAGGCACCCAGTTTAGTGTGGACATGTAGAGAATAATGGTATTCTTTTTATTAGGGAATAAAAAAGAAGAAATAGATTGGGTGGTGGTGTCAATATATTAACTTGCAAACATGTTGAATCTAAGTTAGAATCAAAAGGCAATTGGAAGCCGGGTGCCAGGCAACCTCTATAATGAAAACTACAGAACACTAAAGAAAGAAATTGAAGAAGACCTCAGAAAATGGAAAGATCTACCATGTTCCTGGATAGGCAGAATTTATATTATCAAAGTGGCCATACTATCGCTGGGTGCAGTGGCGCATTCCTGTAAATCCCACAGCTCCGGAGGCTGAGGCAGGAGGATCGTGAGTTCAAAGTCAGCCTCAGCCAAAGGTAGGTGCTAAGCAAATGCTAGGAGCCACAGCAAAAGTATTGATACATGGCTCTTTTGGTTTAGATGACTGCCAGCGAACCATTGAGGATATGATTATGTTAAGCTTTACATTTCATATGAAAATTGGACTCCTGCTGTTCACCTCGGCCTGTTATGGGTTACTCGTGTCACTCTTGTAATGGGAGAGTTCCCATTGGTTGGGGAAGGATAGTAGGAGGGAACTTCCGAGGGGAGGTCCAAGCGCCCGGTTCCGGTGACACACGTGGGTCAACCGGCTTGCCAGTGAGACGCAGAGGGATCGCTTAGCGGCTTTTTTAAAATAAAGCTTTGTTTCCCGCTTGAGCGGTTCATGTTTCTGTGTCTAGCCGGGTTATGGCGGCTCCTGCAGCCGGATTGCGGCAAAGCAACTCAGTGAGACACTGTCCATAAATAAAAATACAAAATAGGGTTGGAGATGTGGCTCGGTGGTTGTTAATTTATAATAACCATAATAACTCGGTGGTTGAGTGCCCCTGAGTTCAATTCCCAGTACCCACCCACTGAAAAAAAGGCAGTTAGAACTAATAAGATTATAGTTCAGATAGTGAACAGTCAACTGAAACAAATGCTGATGAGAAGCTGGGGGCAATGACACATGCCCATAATCCTAGTGACTCAAGAGGCTGAGGCAGGAAGCTAACAAATTGAAGGTCAGCTTCAGCAAGACCCTGTCTCAACATAAAAAATATAAAGGAGATGTAGCTCAGTAGTAGMGTGCCCTGGGAAGGAAGGGGTGGGGGGATGCTAATGAGTTGCTTTCCTCTGATTCTACCAGCTCCACCATTCAGTAGGACCAGTGAAGGGAGGTGTACTGTAAGGGTCCGGTGAAACGTCGGAGGAAGAGACCAGCTTCATGCAACATGCATAGGGGATTTTTATTAAAGAGGATCCTAATTCAGCGAGCTGAGGCTCTAGGCTCACTCAGGAAGGGAAAACAGCCCAGAGCCCAGAGCAGTGGTTGAGCAATGCTTAAGTACACTTTTGGGGGAGGGCGGGGGGCTTTGCATACATCAGAACAAATCATAATGAGGCACGGGAAAATTGAACAGCAACTCTGAGACGTGATTAGTACATTCATTGGTGGGAACAGGTTGGACAGGGGTGATTGGTCACTTCTAAGCGGGGTACACATTCAAACTGATTGGTTTTAGGGCCTAAAGGACTACGTGACAAACTGGTGATTGGTCACTTCTAAGCGGGGTACACATTCAAACTGATTGGTTTTAGGGCC